CAGTAGTATTTTTTTCACATTACCGTCTCACCCATTTTTTCACACAGGCGGTGCATCATTTGTGAAAAAGAATAGAAAAACGCTGATCTTCTTCCGTTTTCAGATTTCTTGCCATTAGTAGCCGATGTATAATTCTTGATATTTCTCTGCTGATTTACAACTCTGAAAAATTTAATCTTACACTCGTGGGAGTCGTTGTTAATGGTAACATATTGCCAGCTTAAAAAAGCGCGTCAGGTTATTGTTATTAAGTGCCGTATTTTATGAGTTATTGTCCTCTTTATTCGCAAAAATTTTCAATTTCTTAACAATCAATCTTGATTTTTAGGCAGGTTGTTTTTCATATCTTCTCAGTAATATAAAACCATAAAAATCAAAATCGTTGTGAGGCAGTTTGGTCTCCCTATATGAATATGCATTGCACTATCTCGGGAGTTTGAGAGCGGTGCTTTCCCTTGTTAGAGAAATATTTAACCCTCCAACGTGTTTTCATGGACCGTCTAGCCTTGGGAGGAAAGAGTGAGTTGGGGCGTCAATGGAGCGCGAGCCTAGGAAAAAGGCGATCGACGTTACAATAACATGTGATAGATCAGATCAGCTAGATAAGACAGGCAGACCAAAGACAGTACAGATCAGATAGTACTAGAAAGACAGAACAGTAGAGGGACAGATTGATAGATAGGCATAGATTAGATCATATAGATAGAAGAGATAGTCAGATAGATATGATAGATAGCATAGTATAAGATAGATTGTGATTAAGATGATAGATAGAATGGGGGGATAGATGGATAGATGGAATAGATTTGGATGTCATGGATCAGTAATGGATAGATGGCATGAATGCGATAGATGGCATAGAGCGTATGATGCATAGATGGATAGATTTATGACGAGAGAGACCAGTGAACGAGAAAAAGAGAGAAAGATATATGGACAACAGAGAGGATTGCGGAGAGAAAGAAGGTAACGACAACAGAAAAGGCGAGGGACGAGAGAGATTGAGAGAGAGGAGAGGAGGAGAGAGAGAGGGGACAAGAGAAGCGACAGAACGGGGGGAAGGAGAGAGTTGAACGAAACGTCCAGCACCGGAAACACACCCCGCGCCCCAAGAGCGAACTCACGACTCGAAACTGAGAGAGGTGGAGACATGCGGAACGAGAGAGGTGGAGATAGATTAGACATGACAGTGCCAGAGGTGATGAGGGGGGTTAGACGAGAGAGAGAGCAGCAGAGAGACGACGAGAAGTGCGCACGACCGAGCGGCGAGCGACCACAGAGAGAAAGAGAGAGAGAGAGGAGAGATAGAGAGAGAGCATGATAGAAGAGAGTAAGATGGAGAGCGAGAGTCTGGTAGAGACGATAGAGAGAAATTAGGAATATATTATAATACTATAGAGAGAGAGAGAGTGAGAGATCACGAGAGAACGCGAAAGTCGAGAGAAAAAAAGAGATTCGTGAGAGCGAGAGACAGAATGAATGGAGCGCGAGGCGCGAACGAAGCTGTCAGGAGAGCGAGGCTCAGAGAGATAGATCTGACATGTAGGAGAGGAGAGTGTAGAGACCTGCAGAGGGAGAGAAAGAGAGAGAGAGACGAGAGAGAGATGAGAGAGTAGCGAGAGCTGAGAGATAGGCAGACTAATTAGGGGTGGGAGGAGAGAGTAAGGGCGAGGACGAGACAGGGCCGAATGATGTGAGAGAAGCGACAGAGAGGGCAGAAAGTTGAGAGCGAAACGACGCGAACGAGAGACTGGTAGGAGATAGATTACGACAGGAAGAGAGAGAGAGAGACGATGAGAGAGAGAGATTAGATTAGATAGATAGACTAGATAGGATAAATACGCGAGAGAGAGAGAGACAGAGGAGGAGAGAGAGAGAGGATAGAGGATAAAGAGTTAGAGTCGAGTAATGCGAGAGATGAAAGAGAGATAGATGAGATGAGATAGAGTAGATAGGGAGTGAAGACGAGAATAGAGAGAGATGAGAAGAGAGAGAGATAGACAGAAAGAGGAGAGAGAGCGAGATAGACAGAAGAGTAGAGAGATATATATTACGATGAGAGCGACGCAGACAGAGAGAGCGCGAGGGCGAGCGAGTGTCAGAGAGAGAGAGAGATAGACAGAAAGAGAGAGAGATATATATTACGAGAGAGCGAGAGACAGAGAGAGCGCAAGGGCGAGCGAGTGTCAGAGAGAGAGAGAGATCAGAGAGATAGACATGCAGAGAGAGAGAGAGAGAGAGAGGGGAAGGCAGAGAGGAGAGAGAGGAAGGCAGAGAGGAGAGAGGGGGACGCAGAGAGGAGAAAGATAAAGGCAGAGACGAGAGAGGGGACGGCAGAGAGGGGAGAGAGGGAGGTAGAGAGGAGAGATAGGAAGTCAGCGAGGCAAGAGAAGGCAAAAGGGGAGAGAGGAAGGCAGAGAAGAGAGAGAAGAATGCAAGTAGGAGAGAGGGGAACGCAGAGAGGAGAGAGAGGAGGGCAGAGAGGGAGAGAGAGAGCGAGCGAGAGAAGCACGGACGCAAACAAATTGGGTTTAAAAATTTAAATCTAACCTAATCCTTTATTGATTTGTATGTTATTGTGTATCAGACAAAACGAGCATTTATTATCTCTTTAGCCTGCCAGTATGTTCACCATATACAGCGCGCATATGTAAATACGCCGCATACGCCGTGACGGGTTTCTCTCTCGCCAGATATATCAAGTTCAGTATACACGTGGCCACTCTCTGCGTTTTTGTCGTCAAAGATTCAAGCTGTGACAACTTTGAACGCGCATACAGCTAACGCGAGTAAATAAATTCTTGCTCAACTGAAGCTTCCGTAGCTGTTATAATATCATACTTAATTAATGTCTTTCACTCGTTTAATTACAGCATATAAATGGATTATTCCGGATAAATCCCACATACCTGACTGAGTTAAATTGTAAGTATTCTTTTCATGCGTTATAGTTGCATAAAGATGCTTGGTTATAGAATTAAATACTTAGCGATAGTGTATAATTAACGCTAAAGGATATATATCAGTCAGTTTCTCTTGATTCACACTCCGCTTTCCTTGTCTAAGCTCACAATAATCACAATGAATTGATATATATATACGCATCAAAGTTATTTTCAGTGCAATCGCCAGACTGGAGAACACGGAGAAAATATCACGTTTTCGAGGCAGCGTCGTGCAACGATTGAGTGGTTACCGGTCTCCAGTTGAACATACCAAGAGGTGCACAGAGATATACGTGCTTACAATTGTTGCCGTGACGTCGTGTCCTGGTCTCCTTTGCGATAACGTATAGACTACCACTATACTGTGGCGATCACGAACCTTGAGGCCAGACGAGAAGACTTGCGTACGAGAATCTAACTATAGACGTAAGTCTACCATTTGTTACCAGCGTTATAATTGTAAATTTTAAAGTTGTAGCGTGCTACTGCTACAGTTCTGAAACGTGCTTGTTGATTGTGACTTCGTGTGTAACACCTCTTATTATGGCTTCCCACGTTTCGGCTCATAGTGATAATTACTACATCCCCGTTTCGGCGATGATGCCGGCAGGTGATAGTTGTGAATGGCATCACCAGAAATCGGTCAGTTGAGGTATGATATTATGGTCTTGATTATGATTATTACAATAGACGATCGGAATATGGAGGGGATATAGACAGTAATGTTCAGCAGTAATGATTGGGTATGTACAAATAATGCAGATCGTAGTGTTTGAAAGGTTCCCTATCTAAAAAAGAAAAAGTTTATTTTATTGAAAACGAAAAGTGAAAAACTGGAACTGTAATTACAGGAAAATGTACTCATTTAAAGAAACT